AACTACATGTCAACAAGAAAACAAATGGTCCTCCTTTGGTTGTGAAGCAATGTATGGGCAGAAGGCCACATGAACTTGTTCATAGCAACTCTGTTCATAGTAACACTGATTCTTTATCAAATTACAAATATTCATACTCAGATTCCTCTTTAATCAGGAACACTGAAAAGTGAATTATTATCAGAGGATACAGGGCCTTTTAAAATCACTGGTTTTTTTTAAAAGATTTTTTTTCCTTTTTCTCCCCAAAGCCCTCCAGTACATAGCTGTATATGTATTTTAGTTGTGGGTCCTTCTAGTTGTGGTACGTGGAATGCTGCCTCAGCATGGCCCGATGAGTGGTGCCATGTCCGTGCCCAGGATTCGAACCGGTGAAACCCCGGGGTCGCTGAAGCAGAGTGCACAAACCCAACCACTCGGCCATGGTGCCAGCCCCTAAAATCACTGTTTTTGAGTTGTAGAGCACAAAGTAAAGAACATTCTGTCCTGAGACAAACGAGCTGTATTCAACTGAAAAGAAACTCAGCACAGAATACAAGTCGTGATGAATTTGACAGTTAAAAGACGGTAAAGGAAATTTTGTAATTTGTAGAAAGATGATGGCACCTGCTACTAGGGCAGGATAGCCCCTGGGGGAGTCCCTCTATACTCAGGAACAGGACAAGCCTGAGCAGAGCTGGGCGGAGCAGGTCAGTTACGCTTCTGCTCTCAGCAGACCAGACCAACAGGCAGGACTTTGGGGTGGAGTTGGAATGTCAGCTGCTAGAGGTGGAAGAAGGCTGAGCCTGGGGCTGGTTGAGGAGAGGGTGGAGCCGGATAAGAAGGTTGTGAGTCAGGCCAGGAAAATTATTGGTGATCAAGGGATCTCAATGAAGGGGTTAAATTTTCATGATCATATCAGCTTGTGTGGCCTGGAGAAATCTCTGCCAAGTTCATGTAGCATTTTAAGATTATAAAGAGGGAAAGGGCTGGGACTGATAACCATACTGCAAGCCATATGCGTAAGTGTAATCAGCCCGAATAAGGGCAAAAATGTGGGGCTTGAGGAAGGACCTCAGAATGAGATCATAGTGCTACTATGTAAGCAGTTTGATAGACAGTGAGGAAGGATGCTAGGATTTCAGCCAATTTGGAGTTATAAGTGAACTGTAATGGTAGTTTTTATATCAGAAGAGCATTATGATTAGAAAAATGCTTGAGGGGGAAAAAGCAGACTAAATTGTGCTCTACTACTCCCTAACCAGTACTTCTTATATTTATACTTGTATTTATGATTGAACAAAGTTAAACAAATTTCCTATAGGACTTCTCAGAGCCTTTAAAATGGTGATAGTAACCTATTAATATCTCATGGAACATTGTCCTGTGGAACACAGTTTGGGAAAGGCTTGTTTAACCCAATGTTAAAAAAGACATAACCAAATTCAACCATCAGATATAACAAAAATACTGAAAGGAAGGAAAGTATTCCAAAATGTCAACAGTGAATGACTCTAGGTGAATTATTTCTCTTACTCTTTGTGTTTCCCATATTTACTTCAATGAGCCTTTATAAGGAACATGAGCTTAAAGAAAGCAGTGGTGTAGCTGTAGGAGATGAGTGTTGGAGTAAGAGTTTTAAAAGCTGTGTAACCTTGAACAAGTTCCTTAAGCTCATCGGGTCCCAGTTTTCTCATCTATAAACCTGAAAAATAACACCTACCTAATGGCTTTGCTATGAAGAGTAAATGGATTATGATATCCAAATTACTCAGCACAATATCCAGCATGTACTGTAGGAGCTAGACATCAGGTAACTACCATTGTTATTGAGTTATTAGTTTAAGTAAGGAGTGCTGGTTTGACTAAGGGCACTGGTCCACTCTCTGTGATAACAGGGAGGCCAGGAAACACACGATCTGAGCTTGTAGCTTTCTCGTGAAGCAAAGAATTGCAGACACTGCTCCAGAGCACAGGACAGGATTCCGTGGGACACTTGGCAGAGAAGATTATGAATTCCCAACTGACTGAGAACCTTTTGTCTTGTGGTGGGCAGCCTTTGAACACTGTATACTTAAAACAAACACATAAAAACCTTCCTGATTGCTTAGAACTAAATTTAATCATTGTACCAGACAAAGGCATTTAACGACCTCCTTCTAAAATACTCAAGATGCTCTGCTGAATGAAAATAATTTGTGCTCCAACCACAGTGCCTCCAACATTAAATATTCTGGCAACTTTACTGCTTCACAATTGTGATTCTTGGAAACTTGTCAATTTAGATTCTTTAGAATTCTTAAATAACTTTTTCTGACTTCATTTATTTAAATATCCCAGAATAGCCTCTTGAGCTATAAGTTCGATGATCCAGGAAACTATTTATAGCAGGATGAGTACTCTCTGTGACTGATGTTAGTTATGTTTTATTTTGAGAAGGACAAATCATTAAAAAGATTGAAAGGGTCAATGGTATTTTGAACTGAAAGCAGTGCCAAGGCAAATAAGGCAGGTGGGTATGCAGCTGGAACATAAAAAGCTATAGATGTGCCAGTTTAGCTAAAGGCTGGGGAGGCCTCCCACAAGAAGGAAGGCAGAGACAGAGTCTGTAACCCGGACATGTGATCTTTAGGTACATTAGACACCTCAGCCTAGGGCAGCGTGGCCTCTGTTTGCACAGTGCTTAATAATCCAGAGCAGACAGATGGAGACAGGACTCTTTGTCATAATTAAGGCCAATACTGTCCTTGGTGATGCAGGGTTGGTGACCCGAGGAGTCAAAAGAAAGATTTCTTGGACTCTCAAGATCTGGCAGTAGTGCTCTTTTATTTAGAGAATAGTGTGGAGTAGCATGGGGACAGGACCCATGGGCAGGCAGAGCTGCTGCGTGGGGACAGGACCCACGGGCAGGAGGAGCTGCTGCTGCCGCTTCTGCTGCCAACATTGCTGGAGAGTAAGGCTAAATTTAAGGCATAGGTATGTGAGCCATCTCTTTACAAAACAAAGGAAAGAACATGTAAAAAAGTTAAAATGGTATCAGTGCAGGTAGGGTCTGGCCATTGGGCGGTCCCACAACTTTTAGATAAGAATCAAATCAGATTAAGTAAAGGGCAGAAGCCACCACCCTAAATCAGTTACATGAGGTTGCCAGACAGTAACCAACTTAGGTTCTTGCCTTTCGCATTGATTAAGAGTTTCTAGAGACAAGGTCATCTCCCTTCTTCCTGGCACAGAGAGGGAGGCATCCCCACAGATGGGGGTTTCCCTCACAAATGTAAATGCCTCCCAACAAAGGGCAAGCAAACTCTGCTCCTTGGAGCCTGCTTCTCATCTGCAGTTTTAAAAGTAACCAGCCTAAAATCCTCCTCACTTGGTGTTAGCGATATCCCCTAGGCAGGAGAAAAGTAGGAGAGAGAGGAAGGTGAAGGTCAACATAACTTTTTTTGTGTTAAAATATACATAAAATTTATCATTTTAACCATTTTTTTTTGAGGAAGATTAGCCCTGAGCTAATATCTGCTGCCAATCCTCCTCTTTTTTGCTGAGGAAGACTGGCCTTGGGCTAACATCGGTGCCCATCTTCCTCTACTTTATATGTGGGATGCCCACCACAGCATGGCTTGCCAAGCAGTGCCATGTCTGCACCCAGGATCCGAACCGGCGAACCCCGGGCCGGGGAAGTGGAACTTGTGAACTTAGCCACTGTGCCAGGGGGCCAGCCCATTTTTTAACCATTTTTAAGTGTACAAATCAGTGACATTAAGAACATTCACCTTGTTATGCAACCATCACCACTATCCATCTCCAGAACTTTTTCATCATCCCATACAGAAACTTTGTACCCATTAAACAATAACTCTCCACTCCTCCCTACCTGAAAGCCCCCGCTAACCACTATTCTACTTTTTGGCTCTATGAATTTGCCTATTCTAGGTGCCTCACATAAATGGAATCATACAAAATTTGTCCTTTCAGGTCTGGCTTCCTTCACTTAGCACAATGTTTTCAAGATTCATCCATGTTGTCACATGTGTTGGAATTCTGTTCCTTTTTAAGGCTGCATAACACTCCATTGTATGTATATGCCATACGCTAAAAATCCATTCATGCATCAGTGGACACTTGGGATTTGAGTTGTTTCCACCTTTTGGCTATCGTGAAAAATGCTGCTATGAACATGGGTACATAAGTATCTGTTCTTCCCTGCTCTCTTTTTTCAAAGACTTTTTCTTGCTGCCTCCACACGCACCCCCCCCCCCCCCCCCCCGCCCCCGCCCCCAGCATTCAGTACTTGTTTTTGAAGACAAAAACAGGTTTGATTTAGCCAGTGGGGAACTGTGCGGTAATTTGCAAGTTTAAAGGCAAATAATGTGGGCTTTAGGCATTGGAGACTGAGGTGCGTCCCTAGGTAGCAGGAAATGCAGAGATTTGCGAAAACTTACTTTCTTCTTTGTTCATTCACTTTATAAAATGGTCCAATTTAATCGTTCTAGCCCTGGGATTGAGATCTTCAACCCAGACTACACTACAGCAATACAGAATTTGTAGTTCTCCTCAACCCAGACTGTTGAGGAGTCTGTTGCTGTTTTTTTCCCAACTTGAAAGCAGCCTTTCGCTTTTCTAGGGAGTCTGCCTAGTCTCCACCATTCAGTTCATGTAACACTAGCCACCCTGTACAAGGATCCTTCTTAACTTGTTTACCCTCGTGACCGGTTGGATTCAGGTTTTGTGCGGTTGAAGTTTATACACTGTCGGGGGCCCTTAAAAACAAGTATCACAAAGTAGATATTTAGCACAAGAAATCACAACAAATTACAGGAGACTTGGAGATTCAGATTCTCCTTCTTCCGAGATCTCTTTAAGCAATTTATCAGGAACGCTTATTACATAGAAGTGCTTTCTGATCGCAAGCTGGCTTCCCCACTGCAACTCTCAGCAACCCCCTGCTCTTCCAGGTGCCCGTGCAAGCGAGGGGCCCTAAAGTTTAAGATTCATTAGCTTCATGTAATCCTGCCACTCACCGGCTTGCCTGAACGGACCTAGGGCAGCGTGTTATCTATCTCTGTCCCTTGCATCCAGCTCAGGATGGCGCTTGGAATGCGCTGGCGGTTAAAAGGCTTAGTCCCGTAAGCCTCTCAGTCTGATGTACGGACACTAGTGGTTTAGAAAACGGTGCGACAAGGCTGAACGAAAAAAACCAAGGCGGTGGGAGTGAGAGTGGATTCCTCCCCTCCGCCGGAGAGGGCGCTGTCTTTGACTTGGACACAGCCCAACCCAGGGCTCTGCTCGGGGCCGCGTCCTCTACCGGCCGGCCTACGCCGAGGGCAGCACAGGAGAGGGCTTTCCGGACTTGGACATTAAGCTCGCACTCCCATTTTGGAGGCCCAACCCAAGGGGCGGCGGATGTTTCACCACCCCCGGAAGTTTCTTTGCGATACAGGGAAACGGCGGAAGTAGGGCAACGGCGCTTCCTCAGTACTCTGCCTCAAGCTTGCTCTCCTACTTTCTTCTGCAAGGGGAGGCGCTCCCCTGCTCTTTGGCGCCGTGGGGAGCCGCTGCGGCGGGCTGTGTGCGCAGGCTCAAGCGGCCAACTCCACCTCCCAACCGTCCTATAGCCTCCCTGTCGTTTCCCAGGTTCTCGTGCCTGGACGTGACGTACGCTTGTACGTAACCAGGGGCGGGGCCTCAAGAGGAAAGGAGGCTGATCCGGGGTCTCGCGAGAACATTCCTTTCCTTCGCAGTTCTCGCGCTGCGGCTTTACTCTCGTCGCAACGAGATCTTTCGAGATCTTCTCCGCCCCCGCTACCGGCTCCCCCTCTGCGGCCGCTGAGCCGGCGCCGGCCTGAGCAGCGCCCTTCGCTGCGGCCCCTTCCGAGGACCTGGGCGCTCGCGTGGACCCCCCGCACGTCCCGCACTAGCCCCGGTCTCCCGGCCCGCGTGACCCGCTCTCTGCGCACCAGCCCCGCCGGGGTCCGTGTCCTGTGTCGCCGGCCGGACCCGGGCTCGAGCCCGTGCTGTAGCCGGCGCCATGTCGGTGGTGGGCATAGACTTGGGCTTCCAGAGCTGCTACGTCGCTGTGGCCCGTGCCGGCGGCATCGAGACGATTGCTAACGAGTACAGCGACCGCTGCACGCCGTGAGTGGGGGCCAGGCCGGCCGCGTGCGCGGGGGGTGGGGAGGTGGCGCTTGCTCCGCTCTGCGACCCTCGCGGCTTGGGGAACGCGGGCCGGGGAGTTACCTCCGTTCCAAGCCGAGGGCCCGGTGGGTAGGGGACCCCCACTGGGTGCCAGGCCACTAGTGGCCGCGACCCGCCAGGTGGTTCTGCGCCAGACGCGAGGTCTTTCCCGGTGGCCTGCGGGCTGAGCGAAGGCTGTGAACAGGTACTTGGACCGGCGGAGGGCAGGGGTAGGAGGTAGAGGGAAGGCGGGCCTGGGATGGAGGATGGCCGAGATCCTGTTTTGGAGAGCAGAGACTAGGCTCGTGGCTTACTAACGTTTCTTGAGCCCAACACAGTGTTCGGAGCTTTGCATACAGCAGGCGCTTAATAAAAGTTAGTTGAGTTGAACGGGATCTGGCGTCTGCCGGCGGCAAGACGGTGGAGCGGTCAGATTCCCACGTGAGTGGGGGCGGGGCGGCGCCCGGAAGAGAGGAAGACGGAGCACCCGAGGCCTGGAGAATCTGGGTTGGCACGGGCAGATGTCAGAAAAAGATTGAATAAAATCAGTGCCTTGATACCTTTGCGTTTACTTTGGTTTTTTCACATCATTTCAGTATGTTGAACTGTGTGGGGTCATTCTCTACTATCATCCTCTGCACATCCAATCTCTAACAGCGTTCCACTTTCCCAGTAATACATTCTAACAAGGGTGTTGGCCGCAGTTGTTAATGAATGACTCAGGGGCTCACTGACTTTTAGAACCTATAGTAAGTTATGGGACCAATATAGACACAGTTCTAAAATTCATGACTCACCCTGATCTTTCCTTGGTTAGCGTAAAAGAATCTACTTTTTGAATACAAAGAGATATCTTTCAATTCATTGTCTTCCCCTTCGACAAAGTCTTTTAAGAAGCTTCATATCTTTTACTATTTTCTCCGTGTGGCCCTTCAAGGGCCACTGTTCCAAGGCCAATTTTTCACCCTAGTTTTTCTCACGCTCCTTCAGCAGATTGCTAGCCATACCAGATTGCTCCGTCTACTAGACTGGTCTTTGCTACCCAGAAGGCTCAAAACATTTCCCTTCCACTTGTCAAGTTTCTGTCCCTTATTTTAGACTTAACCCAGGTGCTTCCTCGAAAACCCATCCCAGATCCACAAACCGTCGTTTGATGTCCTTTTCTCGATTTTGTTTATAGCTTTTAACAGCTTTATTGAGGTATAATCCACATACTGTGCAGTTAACCCCTTTGTTACTGGTGTAGTCACAAAATTGTGCAACTATTACCACAATTTTAAAACATTTTCATTACCCCAAAAAGAAACCGTCTACTTATTAGCAATCACACTCCATTCTCCCTCCTATTTTTATAGTTTTTAGCAGTGGGTATTATTTGTATTTCCAGAGAAAGTGTATTGTACGCTGAAGTTTTTTGAAGCATTAAAGTTTGTTTTTAAGTATTAATTTCCTATTTGATATTGTTTTCCTCTCTGGATCCTCATTTCCTTTATCTGTAAAGATAGTTTTCCCTAAGGAATTGAAAAGGCTACAACACTGAGTTAGGCATGTAACTCCGTAGTCTTTTCCTGCCTAGAATTGAACATCCTTTAGTTCCAAAGGGAAGAGAATCCCAAATATTGTAATGAATGGTGTTCCTGTTGGGTTTTTTGACTATTATGCTTGTGTTTTCGTTTAGGCAAACTGCAGCTACAACAGTTTACCATGACTTCCATTAGTTGGGACTGAAAGAGTTGTTTCAGGGAAAAAGAAAAAAGTTAATCTTCCCAGGTTACAATTAAGTTTACCTCAAAAAAAATTTTACCTTAAGGACTAAATGATGGGTGGCCAGATACACAATGTAATTGCGATAAGAAAATACTATTTAAGTTAAGTGATTATTATATGTTATTTCTCTATGTTTTTCTTTGTGTTTCCCCAGGAGTTTATAGGGATGCCATACGTTTAAGTAATTTTGAACTGTGATTTTGATTAGCTTAGATTTCTGTGTTGGAGTCTCTGGCTAAGTAGAACATGGGATCAAAAAGGTTGATTTTTGTAGTGGTTATGGAATGATAGATTTGTATCTCAGAGGTACTCGGAGACCGTGTGATAAAGATTTGTTTTAGTGTGAGAGTGGAAATGAGATGCAGGTTCTAGAGGGTTGGCTACAATGAAAGTACCTCATTTCAAATTGTGGCTATAATAGGATTTGGATTCAGTTTTTGAGCAGCCAGTTGAGTCTTACCCAGAAGAGACTCTTGCTTTTCCATCAGATGTAGGCTTCCTTCATTTTGGCAAATAGTGAGTGCCTCCTATATGCCAGCCATGGTGCTAAGCACTGGAGGTACTCTGATGAACAAATAAACACGATCCTGCCACCGTGGACGTGGTTAGTGGAAAAAGCTAGATGCCAAACAAATATATAATTACTAACTGTGCTAAAGGCCCAGATGGGGAAGTACAAAATAGGATGACAGGGGGACCTAATTTAAATTGTACTTAAATTGGATATAGGGCGGAGGTTGAAGGTGCTCTTAAAGAAGTGCCATTTAAGTTGAGACCCTGAGAATGAGTAGGAATTTACCATGGAGGTTGTGGTGGGTCTGAGGAAGAGCTGTTCCAGGCAGAAGTAGTAGAAAGTGAGGAAGACCTGAGACAAGAAGAGCTTGGCACACTTCATAGAGTGAGAGGATCATAGCTGCTCTTGAGCCACTTGAGAGAATGGTGTGAGATAAACCTGGAGAGGGGTTAGGGCAGACTAGATTATGGCAGGGCTTTGTAAATCATGGTAGGCGTTCTTATCTAGGTGCGGTGGGAGGTGATCCAACTTATATTTTAAAAATGTTATTTGCTTTTTTGTGGAGAATGGGTTTATTTGAGAAGGGCAAGAGAAGAAGCAGGGGATATTTAGGAGGCTGTTGCAATACTTAGTCCATCTGGGAGTTGATGTTGCTCTCCCCTAGTGTGGTAGCATGGGAGAGAAGTGTGGGTGGTTTTGAGATAAACTTTGGAGTTTTAAATTACGAGTGTCTGTGTTGATGTTTTTTGACGATAGCCTTTGGAATAAGATGGAAAGCTTACTTTTATGGTTAGTTGGGTTATTACAATAGGAGGGGGTACAACTTTAAAGCTTCTTTGGAATAAAAATGTTATTGGACTGCCAAATGTTACAGAAGTTAATTGGGTCATACTTTGCAAAATGAGCACTTTATAGTGTAGAAATGAGTTGCTTCTGAAAATAATTCTGTGTATGAATTGTTCATATTATTTTCATGGACTTAGTTCCTAATAAAACAATATATTAGGAATTCGTAGAGATGAAATTTTCTATTAATAACTGCCCTTGAGAGATCAAAAGGTGAAGTATGTATAGTTTCTCATTAACTGGCAGATGAACGTTTGATTTATTTGTGCAAGAAAATTATTCCTCTCTGAAGTGTCTTTGCATGTTGGGTAGATGTAGTGGAGCAGCAAGATGGCTTGAAGCTTTTGGATTCAAAGAAAAGGAAAACTGATTTGTTAACTAAAGCTTCAGGCTGCTCAGACCACTCCCCCTCATATGTCTAGTTGCAGAGGTTATGAAAGTAGTTTCTTTGAATCATTTAAGAACTAAAATACAACCTTGTATACAAAATTGGTAGAAGTAATCTACAGGAACTTTATGTCATTAGGGTCTAAATTGACTTTCCTAAATTAAACCTTTTTCTTTGTGAACTGACTTAACGGAATACTTGTTTGCTGTAACAGTAAGGACACTAAAGGGCTAAAGTAAAATTAAGTTTCCTCTCCATCTGTTGGCTGTGTATGCTTGCATACTTTTTCTGAACTTCCACAAATATATGTAAGGTATATGTGTGTTTCAACAAATAAGATCATACTATATTTTGTAACTGTTGTCTTTCGCTTATATTTTAGACATCTTTGAGAGTCAATAAATATGAATTTGCCTCCTTAAATATGTAATATTCCATGTTATGGCTGTAACACGTTTTCTTTAAACACTCAGGTTGTGCCTAATTTTTTTTTGCTATTAGAAATAATTCTTCAACAAGTAGTCTCTTATATTTATGTTTACATGTTAATACTTTTATTTTTGTTGGATAGATTTCCAGATGTGAAATTGCTTGGGCAAAGGATATATATGCTTAGAGTTTCAGAACGTATTGCCAGGATACTTTGCAAAAATTTAAGGGATTAATTTATACCAGGAACGTAAGTGATTTCTCTACCTTACTGGGGGTTGCAAGGATTATAATGAGTTAAAACTATATAAAGTGTTTAGAATAATGCCTGACACATAGTAAATACTGCCTAAGTATTTGCTAATATTGCTATTATTATTTGCCTTTTTGTATTTTTTATTAATCCTCTTTATTAATGGATTTTATATTGGGACAGTAAAATGAAATCTATACAAGTTTGCCTTTAGGGTTATCAAATATGTAGCTTTTAATGTGC